TTTGAAAATCAGTGATTTGAAGTGTGTGCTTTCGAATCAAACCATCTAGGTCCCACATCCTAACGGCACCGTGTTTTTAGATGTGACCCTGGGCAGGTTAACTTCTGTGAGCTTCAGGTGCCTCGCCTACAAGTGGCAGGTGACCCGCCTCACAGACATGCCGCCTGTGAACAATGGAACACTCAGACCGCCCGCTCGGAGAGGGCAGCCTGCGCTCCGTGATGGCTGTGGTGGCGAATAGTTTTCCCAAGTCACGCCTGTCTGCGGTGCTGGTGATCTCAACATCCACCGTCCTGTTCTCCTTCGCATCCTCTATTTCCTATTATTTCCCTCCCATTGAAACCGCACCTTTAAAGTATAATGCTGATCATTTGCTGCCACCTGCAGGCTAATATGGAGAAAGCAGGACATGTAATGTGCTGACTTTCTTCAATTCTAAATATAAAATCTCAAGGTCATCTTGGAGAGGCCCCAAGGCCAACTGGGGGCAACCCCATGCCCCCATTTTCTGAGCTATTCTCTTTCCCTGGTACTCTAACTACACACGTGAATGATATTCGTTCGAATCCCTTTAGATTCTTTCTGGAATTGGGCAGCTATGCATAAAGCACTGTTAGTAATCAGATACTGAAGTTTCCTGCTTAAGTAGATTTGCGAAAGGCTGTTTATGAAACAGTATGGAAGAGTCCTTGTTATTTAAGCCATGGTTTAGCATCTGAGTTTTGGGGTCTTGGGGGGTGTCTTGTTCTAGTTGGAGAAGTTGAAAGGTCTGAGGAAAACATTAAAAATAAATAATGTTGCCCTGGCTGGTGTGGTTCAGTTGATTGGGTGTTGTCCCCTGCACCAAAAGGTTGCTGGTTTGATTCCTGGTCAGGGAATATACCCCGGGTTGGGGCTTGGTCCCCGGTAGGGGGCGTGCAGGAGGCAGCCAATCAATGTTTTGCTCTCACATCAATGTTTTCTCTTTCTCCCTCTTCCTCTCTCTCTAAAAATCAATTAGAAAATCTTTAAAAAAAATAACGTTTATAAGGAACTCTCTTATGGTTCCTTCTGTGATGCCTGTATGATTGCTACCTGTATGCTTGTCTTCCATTTTCAACCTCACACTCCTTTGTAACGTAACCTGGTGTCGGGATGCATTTGCAAGCACACGTGGACCCGGGATGGTTTCTCACAGCACCTGGCAGCGCTGCCGCGCCCGCAGTTTGAATCGTCCGCAGTTGGATCCGCGGTGTCACTGCCGAATAGCAGGGGCCGGGCCAGTGAGGCCTTGGTGCTGAACTGCAGGTTGAATTTGTCCTGAAAACCGTAGGGGTCGCCTGAAGGATTTTACCTGGGGAGTGACATGATCAGATTTCTATCCTAGAAACAGTACCCAGGCAGCCTGTTCCCAGCTGCTTCGGGGGGAACCTGTTATTCTTGGAGCCTCGCCACCCCTGACTGTCCCTCCCTCCCTGGTGTTGTCTGCAGGAGAGGGCTCACCCTGGTCTGTTGGCCACTCCAGTTTGTGGCCTCGAATAGTTTCATGTGTGTTACTGTGATGCCTTTAGCGATTCTGTGAGCACCTTTCAGTAGGCACTGTTTTGATATTGTTATACTAGTGATTGATGTTATTGTAATTACTAACTACCATTGTGCAGTTAATATGCAGTAGGCTGTGTAGCAAGTGTCCTTGTAAATTACCTTTTACCAGATGTGCACACCTGTGTGTCATTGACTCACCCTCCTCGTAGCCTGGCTGCTCGCTGGCGCCTGCTGAACGGCATGGTATTCTTCCTTCTTCCTGTCCACCTGGTGGCTAGTCTGTCATCGCCTGCGGGCACCTTGCTCTGGGTGGTGCCACATGGCTGCCGTGGCTGAGCTGGCATTTTCCAGGGATGATGTGGGGCGGGGTGGGGAACAGCCATGGTGTCCGTGATGCTCAGTGGTCCCCCATGTAAAAGCTCCTTCTGGCTGCCGTGGGAGGCTGAGCACACGCACCTGTGACAGGGAGGCACCTGTGACAGGGGGGCACCTGTGACAGGGGGGCACCTGTGACGGGGGGGCACCTGTGACATGGGGCACCTGTGACAGGGAGGCACCTGTGACAGGGGGGCACCTGTGACGGGGGG